ATTTGTGTGCACTAGAGACGTCAGCAGAAAATAATGGAACAGTATTATTTATAGCTTCGAGTTACGCATCGCATTCGTTTCGAACAACATTCGTCCTCCAGGTTTCCCCGCCGAGGTCGCCGGTGAATAAAATTAATGTATTGGCAGGGGCCCATTACCCGTAGCCTCCATACCAATTGTACTCTTGAGTCAACCCTGTCATGTATCTCTTTATTTTTAGAACTGAGATACGTGTGTGTGTGTCTTGTTGTGGATATTGCTAAGTCTCTTGATTTCTTTGTATAACTGGCAAAATGAGATTAAAATTTATTATCTAAAGTAAACGTGAATCGAATTTCAATTATTCAGAATTGATAACGACGTTCATGAAAGATTTCAAGACACATTTCCCGCCTTTAAGAGTTTGAAACTTGAAGCCGTAATCAACTCTCGATCTCTGTATCTTCACGTCAGACGAGTCATGAATGCACTGGAAAATGCTGTGTTTTCTTTATACGACGCAGAGGTTTTCATCGAGTATTTGAGGAACCTTGGAGAGAGACATAAAACATGGCCCGTGAGGCTGGAACATTTCGATGTATGTATTCTATTATGCCGATCAAGGCTACTTACGGGTACATATTGTTGTATAGCGCTGTATAATAATGTAAACTTCAGAAGAGGGAAGTATAGAGCTATCTAAGAGTACATATCGCTGTTTATGATCCATCAATTTTTTTTTTGCTCGCGCACGATTGGTCTAAACTCACGCAAGTGACTAAATATCCCCCACCTAAAACTGGGTGATATCCGAGAATATAACCCAAGCGATATTCCCAAATTTGCAAATCTTACGTCCACCACGATAAGTCTTCGTTTCAAACTTAACTCAATTCAGGATAAGTTAGTATTATCATCTGAGTTGATTACGTAAGCTGAAAGCTCACGTTTCGAGCGTTAGCCCTTTGCAATCGCTCTGACGAAGGGCTAAATCTCTTAATTACCCCCTTCAATCATTCGATTCAGTAAGCTGTTCATAAACATTTTCCACGTGCGTTACAAAATATTTGAAGGATAATAAACACAATAGCCTCTATTTTGCGAGAAAATATG